TAACTTGACTAATTGTTAGTAAGATAATGGAATCTGAGTGTTATTTTTAAAGAAGCAGACCTAATTGTTTTGCTATTTGTAGTTCCATGGATGGAAACTTAATGTGTGAGAAATAACCTTAGCATTTTAAATATATATATATATACACATATATATATATATAAATTATATATCTCTCACCATAAGTAACCACTGGTGCCTAATCAGTCAGTGGGTTGTCATTGTAGAATAATTATGAATACAATTTGATGATTTCTCTTAAAAGAAACCTTTATGTTGAAAGTATAGGAGTTTTTTTGGTCATTTCTGTTGAGCTGATATAGAAAATTATTTAATTTTTTATAACTTTATTGTCAAATGTTCATAATATATTAGGAAAAACAACTTCTATTATGGTAAAATCAAAGTAGAATTAAAATTTACATATGTAACTAGGCATATTGAAATAAACATTTGTGAAATTTTGTTGTAAATAAATAATAGGAATGGTGTTCTGATTTTATAAGTACAATATTTGATGTTTGCTTGTTGTAGAACTAAACACAGGTCTACACTTGTTGGTAATAAAATGGTGAGTCACCATCATGATTGAGATCACTAAATTCAACTTGATTCAACCATTTAGGCCAAGGCTTTGGGTAGCAAGAAAAAAGATTAAAATGTAAGTTCTTTTTAATATTATCCTTGTAGTTTCTATCTTGTAGGTGAATTCATATTATAAGAAGCAGTTTTTCTTGGTCTCCAGTAATTGTGCTTCTTTGGGAAGAATGCAATTAGGATTTTATTTTATATAGAATTTTGCATAAGTATTATAGATAGCAAAGCCCCAGTAAGAATATTTTCACTGATTAGAAAAAATTTTCTATTTATCTTCACAAATGAATTTCATGGTATAGCAAGAACAGTAAAAAATCATTCTTTGCACATATAAACTTGCACATTTTACAGCCTTAAATCCATGAAGATATAGTCTGGGGCCAGGTGCAGTGGCTTATGCCTGTAATCCCAGCACTTTGGGAGGCCGAGGTGAGTGGATTGCCTGAGGTCAGGAGTTCGAGACCAGCCTGGCCAACATGGTGAAACCCTGTCTCTACTAAAAATACCAAAAATTAGCTGGGCATGGTGGCGGGCACCTGTAATCCCAGCTACTCGGGAGGCTGAGGCAGGAGAATCGCTTGAACCCGGGAAGCAGAGGTTGCAGTGAGCCGAGATTTGTGCCATTGCACTGCATCCTGGGCAACAAGAACAAAACTCTGTCTCAAAAAGAAAAAAAGATAAGCTCTGGTACGGTGGCTCACACCTGTAATTCCAGCACTTTGGGAGGCTGAGGTGGGGCCATTGCTTGAGCCCTGGAGTTATACATCAGCCTGGGCAATGTGGAGAAACCTTGTCTCTACAAAAAATACAAAAAATTAGCCGGGCATGGGTGGCACATGCCTGCAGTCTCAGCTACCCAGGAGATTGAGATAGGAGGATCACTTGAGCCTGGGAGGTTGAGGCAGCAGTGAGCCATGATCGCGCAATTGTATTCCAGCCTGGACAACTGAGTGAGACCCTGTCTCCCCCAAAAAGGTCCATATATAAGTTTTCTAGACTCTATACCAATATCTGAATACTTAGTTAGAATCTAAATTTTTAGGAATTACTGCTCACATCTTGGTTTTCTCTCCTGTTAGTATATTAATTATTTTATAATTTACTAAAATGTGGGGGAACTAATATTTTTTGTGTATTGGTTATATAAAATATGTTCATATATATTTAATGCATAGTAAAATATATATTTACAACATTTGTAATTAGATATTGCCACTGGTAATAATTTTAAGTGCAACTTAATATACTTGATCAATCTCTTATGTATAAAATAGTAGTGGTTAGTTGCTAAGTTGATATCTATTCAAAAAGTATTAAGATAACTTAATTCTCTTGTTCTTAAACCGCTACTAATTCATTAAAACTCATTTGTTTTTCCTTTATTTCAAGAAATTTTCTCTCTCTTTTTTTTTTTTTTTTTGAGACGGAGTCTTGCTCTGTTGCCCAGGCTGGGGTGCAGTGGTGCAATCTCAGCTCACTGCAACCTCTGCCTTCCAGGTTCAAGCAATTCTCCTGCCTCAGCCTCCTAAGTAGCTGGGGCTACAGGCACAGGCCACCAAGGCCAGCTAATTTTTGTATTTTCAGTAGAGACAAGGTTTCACCATATTGGCCAGGCTAGTTGCAAACTAATGACCTCATGATCTGCCTGCCTCGGCCTCCCAAAGTGCTGGGATTGCAGGTGTGAGCCACCACACCTGGCTGAAATTTTCTTATTGAGAACTCCTCTCATTGCTTCATTTGTTTTTTATTTTATATTATTATTATTTTTATTTTGAAGATGGAGTTTCGCTCTTGTTGCCCAAACTGGAATGCAATGGCATGATCTCGGCTTACTGCAATCTCTGCCTCCCGGTTCAAGCGATTCTCCTGCCTCAGCCTCCTGAGTAACTTGGATTACAGGCACACACCACCACACCTGGCTAATTTTTTGTATTTTTAGTAGAAATGGAGTTTCACCATGTTAGCCAGGCTGGTCTCCAACTCCTGACCTCAGGTGATCCACCTGCCTCAGACTCCCAAAATGCTAGGATTACAGGCGTGAGCCACTGCGTCCAGCCTGTTTGTTTTTTGAGACAGGGTCTTGCTCTGTCACCCAGGCTGGAGTGCAGTGGCACAGTCACAACTCACTGAAGCCTCCAGTCAGGCTCAAGTGGTCCTCCCATCTCAGCCTCCAAAGTAGCTGGGACCACATACGCATGCCACCATATCCAACTCAGTTTTGTGTGTGTGTGTGTGTGTGTGTGTGTGTGTGTTTTGTAGGTTTCCTCATGTTGCCCAGGTTGGTCTCAAACTCCTCAGCTCAAGTGATCCACCAGCCTTGGCCTCACAAAGTGCTGCGATTACAGGTGTGAGCCATCACACCCAGCCAGCAGTGCTTCTTTCTTTACATTTAGAATTCTTTCTTTGATCTGTTCTCTTGGAACAGTGCTTTTCATACCACAGGTTGTTATGGCCCCATGTAGGTTGTGAAATTAACTTGGTAATGAACTTTAATAGAATAGAAAATACTAGATATTCCATATAGTACAGGTGCATATTTAAATACATCTACTGATTTATGTATATACTGAGTCTTAGTGTAAAGATACTTGGCCTTCCAACTTAGAATGTAATGCTATTGTAGGTAAATAGTTTTACTTATTTAATTGTGTCATATCCCTTTTGTGTTAAACACTTCCCCTGCTTTGTGTGTGCTATATTTATGTAACTTTAAATCTGATTCTCATTGTCAGTGCTTTTCTTAATCATCTTACCATATCATTTTCTGCTCTTCTCTATAACCCCCACTGACATCCTCTTTACATTCACAGAGGTGGCATTTTCAGAATCCTACCTCTTCTCTCTATTGCTGCTACTTCCATTTAAGTCCATACTGCAATCAGTTCTCAGTAGCTTTCCAACTGATATTCCTGTTTACACTCTTGCCCCAGATTGTCTTTTCCACATAGCAGCCAGAGTGATCCTTCTGAAGTGTAACTTATTATCACCTTATTATTAAAAATCCTCTAGTGACTTTACTCAGAGTTAATATCCAAAGCCTTGTAATCTGGCACTGCTGCTACATCTCTGAATCTTTTTTCATTTTCCTAATTCATTTTGCTACTTGTGTAAATTGTGCATGCCTCCTCCCACCTCAGGGTTTTTACTTCTTTTCTCTTTTTTTAGAAATTCATTTCCCCAAGATTTTTCATGAGTTGCTCTCTTGGTCGTTTTTTTTTTCCCCCCTCCAGATCTCTGCTTAAATATCAACCTCTTTGAAGGCATACTCGGTCAACTTATCAGAGATCACTCTATAAAACAGTGGCTCCCCCACCCTGTACTCTGTTCTCGTCATAGAACTTATGACTTCTCCTGTTGTATATGTTTTTGTTTGCTTGTATCTCCTCACTGTTTCTATTTTGTTGACTACTGAATCTTCACTATTTAGAGTAGTTTCTGGCACATTGCAGGCTCGTAACTATTGAATAAATGAATGAATACACCCTCAAAGGGAAGAAAAGATGTGAAGTTGGTGGGGGGTAGGGATTAAATGTGTAGTCTCTTGGCCAATTTAAACTACATTGTCTCCATTTTTATTCTTGGATTATATAGCTGTAAAGAAAGTTTAAAAGCAAATCCAAGAACTTTTTTTTTTTTTTAATTTTTTACTCTTTAAACTGGGTGCTCTATGCTTCATCTCTAGTTACTTTCTTCACCCAAGGAAAATGTATTGAATGAGTAGCTAAAATACCTACCTAAAATAAAATAGTGCTTTTTTCTGTTTTGGCTAATAGAATGGTGGAGGCAGGGATCAGTATCTTATAAAACCTTAGTTAAAGTAAAAATGCACGGCAACATACAGTGGCTCATGCCTATAATGCCAACACTTTGGGAGGCCAAGGTAGGAGGATCTCTAGGGGCCAGGAGTTTGAGGCTGCACTCAGCTTTGATGATGCCATTTTACTCCAGCCTGGGTGACAAGGCGAGACGCTGTCTCTAAAAGACAATAAAAATTTTAAATTTTGATATATGTGGCCAAGCACAGTGTCTCATGCCTGTAATCCCTGCACTTTGGGAGGCCGAGGTGGGAGGATCACCTGAGGTCAGGAGTTCGAGACCAGCCTGACCAATGGTGAAACCCTGCCTCTGCCAAAAATACAGAATTAACTGGTGGTGTATGCCTGTATCCCAGCTACTTAAGAGGCTGAGGCAGGAGAATAATTTGAACCCAAGAGGTGGAGGTTGCAGTGAGCCAAGATGTGCCATTGCACTCCAGCCTGGGCAACAAGAGCAAGACTCCATCTCAAAAACAAACAAAATGTTTGAAATATGCGATTTTGTTATAGTGTATTCTTACTAGGTTTCCATTTAAAATTTCATTTTCCAAATTATTAACGGATTTGTCTTTTCCCTCCTCTTTTTAGGAAGAAAAAAGATGCAATTGATCCCTTACTATTCAAGTATAAAGTGCAACCCACTAAAAAAGAATTATATGAGTCTGCTATTGTTAAAGCAACACAAATCAGGTAAAACTCACTATCTTCTCAATAGTAGTTTAAAGTAGAATAATTATGTAAGATTAAGAAGGTCTGATATAGAAGAAATAGGAAGTACTGTGATTGCTTTCCTTTTAAAAAATAAATGTACATTTATATGTTCATAGACTGATTAAAATAAATCCTAAGAATCTTGATGAAGGCCAGGTGCAGTAGCTCACGTCTGTAATCCTAGCACTTTGACAGGCCAAGCCAGGAGGATCGCTTGAGGCCAGGAGTTCAAGACCAGCCTGGACTATGTGGCAAGACCCTGTCTCTATTAAAAAAAAAAAAAATCCTAATGGACTGATGGAGCCCTTTGTTTAGATGACTAACCCCAAATAGTCTTCTATCTAAAGAATTTAAAAGGGTCCTATTTATGAAGTACTTTTCATGAGATAACTCAATTTTTAATATTAATGAAGGTACTTATAAACGTTAACGTTTGTAGTATTCATTAGACAAACATTTGATCAGTTTTTTCCTATTCATTAAGAAAGCTAAATCATAAAAAATGAGTATCTTTTAAAAGTTCCTGTTTGAGGCCTAATCAGAGGAGACAGAAGTTAATATAAGAAGTTGCTTTAGTGAGTAGTTAATACATAAAATAACTGGCTTTAGGTTATACAGATATATTTTAGGAAAATCCCTATTGTTGCCTGTTGGGTTTAGACTCTTAGTCATCTGAAAGTAAGATGATGTCAGCCAACTATCAACCTGCCACCTAGGAGTCAGTCTTGTATTTCATTTAATGTAAAATAATTTTTGCTTGTGTTCTCATCCCTTTTGTTCCATATATATTCATGTGTCCAAACAAAAGTGGTAATAATATAAGTATTAAGAGAATCCTGAGATAGATATATCACTTTCTGTGGCTGTATTGAGGTATGTGTAGTTTGTTGGTTTGTTGGTTTTGGGGGGCTCGTCGTTAGTTGAAGATCTCTAGAGCATTCTACATTTTACTGTATATTCAAAAATAATATTCCAAAACTAATGTTTGATTATTCAAACTTTTAAAAATTTGTTTAGTTTATGGGCTCATGAGTAGCACTGTTGAGACTACAGATATTTTCCTTATTCACAGTTGAGTTTTTTTCTTTTGCATTTAGTTCAGGATGTTATTTATATAATGTAATTCCTTATTTAATATTTTTCATTTTTCTATTTACTTTTTGACTTATACTTTATTCTGCTAGACCATGGTTACAGTCTTGGTTAGCTCATTTTTTTCCTAACTTGTAAGCCAAAGAATTACAAGGTGAGAAAGTTATACTTCATAATAAAAGACTTAAATGACTTATAGGTCTTTGTTAGCATCAAAAAATAGTACAATGCTATTTTTTTAATAAAGAGATGGTAATATTCCTCTAATAAAGAAGAAGACTTGATATGCTAGAGTAGCATTGACATGTAGAACTTTCCTTTTTTTTTTTTTTGAGATGGAGTCTTGCTCTGTTGCCCAGGCTGGAGTGCCGTGGCGCATTCTCGGCTCACTGCAAGCTCTGGTTCCCGGATTCACACCATTCTCCTGCCTCAGCCTCCCAAGAAGCTGGGACTACAGGTGCCCGCCACCATGCCCGGCTAATTTTTTGTATTTTTTTTTTAGTAGAGACAGGATATCACCGTGTTAGCCAGGATGGTCTCGATCTCCTGACCTCGTGATCCACCCGCCTCGGCATCCCAAAGTGCTGGCGTGAGCCACCGCGCCCGGCAGAACTTTCTTTTATAATGGAAATGTTATATGTATGCTATCCAACAGCCATGTGTCGCTATTGAGTATTTGAAATGTAGCTAGAAAGAATGAGGGAACTGAGTTTTAAATTTTATTTATAAATAAACAATATGTGGCTAGTAGCTACCATGTAAACTAATGTAGTCCTTGAGGACTAGTTTCTTCAGCAGTGAACGAGTAATTACCTTCTCTTTACCAGCTACTGTATGGTGCAGAGATATAGCGGAGTCCTTGTTCTCATGGAGCTTTAAATCTAGGAAAAGAATATAGTTATCCTCGTTTATCTGTGTGGGAGGGAAATCTTTGGATGTTCAAATTTCATAAAATGGTGTAGTATTTGCATCTAACCTACACACATCTTCCCATATGCTTTAAATCATCTCCAGATTATGTATAATACCTAATACAATGTAAATGAAGTATAATTCATTGTTATACTGTATTGTTTAGGGAATACTCACCAACAAAAAAAGTCTGTACATGTTTAGTACAGATGCAGTTTTTATTTTCTCCAAATACTTTTAATCTACAGATATGGAGGGCTAACTATACATTTTTGGGAAGGCCACTACTTAAAAATCATATATTGTTTATTCACTTACTGGAGCTTTTACCTTGGCTTTTTCTTGAAAGGAATACATTGAACTCAAAACATTTACTTTTTTCCAGAAATACTTCTATTTCTTTTCTATTGGTTTTGTTTTGTTTGTGGTGGTGGTTGTTACTCTTGTGGTTGTTTTTAATTGGGGGGCAAGGGAGAATAAAAAACAGTATGTTTTAGAATATTAATTTTAAGCCTCTTTTAATTTTCATCCCACTAATTTGTTGGTTGTCATGAGATTTAAATACAAAATGTTTTAAAATTTGATATAAGCTATGTTCAACTTTGTTTACAATATCCACTTGAATGTTGATTTGCAGCACTTAATATGATTTCTGGGAGTCTACTGATTTTAATTTTTTTGTTTTGTTTTGCTTTGTTTTTTTGAGACAGGGTCTCACTCTGTCTCCCAGACTAGAGTGCAGCAGTGCAATCTCAGCTCACTGCACCCTCCGCCTCCCAGGCTGAAG